TCTGGCCGAAGTCGTGTATATAAATGCATCCACGATTTCCTTTGAGATCGAATTCAGTATCCAAGATCTCACCATACAATCCACTCTAATCCATTGATCAAAATTCGTAGAATCTTCAGCTGGTTTCTCGCATTTCCCATTTATGAATCCCAATTTTAATTTTGCACCAAGTGCAATTTTGATTGATCTACTCCAACTTAAATAGTTTTTACCTGTTAGAGGTGAAGTCAGTAATATCATTCCAGGGTGATCTGATCCTTGTAGATCCAGTGGATCTCCATTGCTATAATCCTTATCAGAACCTCTTTGTTCTGTAGGTAGAACTCGAGCTCGTTCGTGAGCTATCTCCGTTTCCATTATCGATGATGGGTTAGATAATTGAGCTCAGGATCTGGGTAATCTAAAGCTCTGATACCATATTGAATTCTGGAAGAGGAATTTTATGTAGTCGAAATTATTCTTATTCAAAATCAGAATCAACGTAGAGGATGCACAGTATTTATACTGGGAGCTGACCAATGTAAAAGTGACACCTGGATAAACAAACTAACTAACACAATAAAGGAAAATACACGTGAATAAAAAGGAGGGAAAAGAAAAGATAAAAGAAAGGAAACTAATATTGATATAAATTCTTCAATATACGCCTATACCTATTCCCACGTGAGACTTATACACGATCATTTGCTCTTTCTGTATCTACTTTTCTCTTTGTGTGTAGAATTGTAGTGTATATATTTGTATATCCATCTCTTTCTTGGCTGTTGAATGTTGTGGTTGGTATTTCTGGCTGATTCTTTGTTCTTGATGATATTTAGAGTTTAGTTAATGTGTCTTAATCTATAATCACCAGCTGGTACACCTAAACCCTCCCTTAAACCCCTCTCTCACACACGAACTCAAGCTTAACCATTGGAATGGAAGGTAGGTCTGCAATATTTATTTGTTTCATTGCTTTACGTTTTTTATCCGTAATCTCTTTTTAATATCAAGGGTGCTCAAGCCGAGAAGCAAAATATTCATGCGAACCGTTCATATCATTTACTCAAAAGTTAAAAAAAATTTGGCAAAGCGCAGTTCGCCACCCAAGGGTTTAGCTCGTATGGCGAGTCTAGTCATACTTCGATGAAGGAATTAGCTCGCATGGTGGCCGAATCGAGATGAGGTGACGATACTGTAGAGAAGATCTTGCGAAAATATAGCTTGGCGTCAGAATGATAAAAGGCTGGCAATCCAAGCAATTCAACTCAGCCCATAAACACTGCTACCTCATATTTGAGTGTAACGTCAACGTATTTATGAAGATACATTCAGGTTTCAGCGTCTTAACTTGGACTGATTACTCAATATGTGAAATAAATATGTGGGCCACGTCACAAATTCTTTGGCACGAGGTCCCTCTACTTTTCCATTATGTTCATATTTTTTCCATAATAAGTTTGGAAGTCTTTCGAATTGGCCCCCACTCCCACCTATGGCCTACATGGATAGAGAGTAAATTTGCTTATTAATAATGGGTTAAGCCATTTGTACATCAAAAGTGAACTCTTTTGATATCATGGAAGTTGGCATGATTTGATTGGTGAAAAAAATTGTTTATTTTTTTAAACCGTCAACTAACATGTTGACACATGGCACAATGTAAAGAGTGATGTACATGTAGCATGATTCATTAATAATAATCATATTCCTACAAAATTGTACAAATCTAATCCACGCTATTTCCCTAAAACTTGAAACACCAAATTCTATCAATTCAAATGGTATTCCACTTTTGGAATTTAGTCATCAAACTAGTTTGATTGTAAAAGCATCTTTCGTTTACAACTAAGCCCCCATTTGGCCCCTATTATTTAAGATTATAATTTTTTGAATAATGTATTTTTTTTAAAATGTGTAATTAAAAAAAATGAGTTTATTTGTAATATTATTTTATAGAAAAATGTATGATTAATGAAAAAAGAGAAATAAATAATAATTTTAATGGGAGCCAAACGATGGCTAAATTGTGTCGGCCTGTGTCTTTATTTATTTTCCGAATAGTCTCACTCATATTAGTCGTTAGTGCGACATAAGTTTTTAAAACAATATATTCATCAACCAACAGGCCTAATCTCTTTGCCCGCAGGAGATCAATTTCACATCTACCAAACTAGTAATCAATAAAATATAGTAGATTAAGCGGTAAAAATTGAGAGAGTCAGAGGGACTGTCTGGAATTAAATGTAGTGTCTGCTGAGGCAAAGTAGGAGGTCTAGAATACAGAGAAAGCTTCTTGCTGAATCAGAGACCGGACTCGGAAAAGGTTGAATCTAATTAAAAAGGGTACAATGAGTAAGTGCCAACTCTGCATTCATCAAGATGTGTCAAAATGTATCGTGCCACTCGAGAGTGGCCAGGCCTGTGAAAAGCACGACCAAACCCATCATGACCAAGCCATCGGCCGTCCTGGCCTGGCTCTACAGCTGAGCCATGCTCGACTCTAACTAGGCCCGCCACTATTTACACCTCCATATTCATAATACATAACCAAACAAAGGTAGGAATCTATCAGCACCACAAGTGCTATGTCAATGATTTCAAAATAAGGGTTTGCACAAAAGCAGAAAAATAAACAAAATGGATTCTCACCAAATAGGCAACAAACAATCACTTTCTGAGGCTAGCTCCACACAATCAAATATAGACCAACTCCAAAATTAACTGAATAAACGTCTCACTGTAATTTGTACATAGAAAGGGTAGTATATATGTGACTGCATAGCCAGGATTATCTCAAATATTCAACAATCACTGTTTTTTTAATCTTCATTTACCTTATTGAATCGACTTCAAAGGGCAAACTCAAAGCTATTATTGGCAAAAAATGCCAGCTATGAACAACCGTAAGCAATACCAACATTATCTATCTGCGGTCATTTCTGAATGTAAATTAACAGATTCAGAAACAGAAACGATCTTCATTTCCAGTCACATTCACAAGTTCAAATGAAAATCTATATACATTCCAAAATTCACACGAAGAATTATGCAGCAACCTAAGACCACTTGTTAGAAGAAAATAAGCCCAAATCCATGACAGGGACAGACTATAAACAAGTGAATCTCAGAATTGTTGTCACCATTTACCT